TTGCTCTGTTGGGCAGGCTGGAGTGCAGTGGCCTGATCTCTGCTCACCTCAACCTCCACCTCCTAGGTTGAAGCTATTTTCCTGCCTCACCCTCCTGAGTAACTGGGATTATAGGGGTATAGCACTCCCAGCTAATTTTTAGTAGAAATGGGGTTTCACCATGTTGGCTATGCTGGTGTCAAACTCCTGACCTAAAATGATTCTGGCCTCGGCCTCCCAAAGTGTTGGGATTACAGGTGTGATCCACCGCACTCGGCCAATAAATCCCTTTTATTTATTTTATTTATTTATTTTTTTTGAGATGGAGTCTCACTGTGTCACCCAGGCTGGAGTGCAGTGGCATGATCTCAGCTCACTGCAAACTCCACTTTTGGGGTTCAAGTGATTCTCCGGCCTCAGCCTCCTGAATAGCTAGGATTACAGGTGCCCACCACCGCGCCCAGATAAAGGAAATCCCCTTTAAAGAGGAAAGTTTATTTATTTATTTTTTTGAGACAGTTTGCTCTTGTTGCCAAGGCTGAACTACAGTGGCGCGATCTCGGCTCACTGCAACCTCTGCCTCCTGGGCTCAAGTGATTCTCCTGCCTTAGCCTCCCAAGTAGCTGGGATTACAAGTATGCGCCACCATGTCCAGCTAATTTTGCATTTTTAGTAGAGATGGGATTTCTCCATGTTGGTCTGGCTGATCAAGAACGCCTAACCTCAGGTGTGATCTGCCTGCCTTGGCCTCCCAAAGTGCTGGGATTACAGGCGTGAGCCACCGCACCCAGCTGAAAGTTTAATTTTTAAAAAGGAAAAAAAAGTACAAAACTTACAGTACCTTGTCTTATTCTAATAAAAATAATGATATTCGTTCACAGATATAGGAACTAATAGGGGAGGAAATTTTCTCTTTTATGAGACACAGTTCCAAAAAAATTTGAGTTTTTATTAGAAAATTAAATATATATGTTTTTTTGAACAACTGTACTACTAATAGGTGTAACCCTTAAAGCCTTATTAAGGTTACAAAAAATGAATTTGTACACATTTGTTTTGAGTCAGGATCTTGCTTTGTTGCCCAGGAGGTAGTGCAGTGGCGCGAGCACTGCTTATTGCAGCCTTGACCTCCTGGGCTCAAGCGATCCTCCTGCCTCCTTTTATTTTTTGTAGAGACACGGTTTCACCATGTTGGCCAGGCTGGGGTCAACTGGTCCTCCCACTTTGGCCTCCCAAAGCGCTGGGATTATAGGCATCAGCCGCCCTGTGCCTGACCTACTTATTTATTTATTTTTTTTGAGACAGAGTCTCGCAGTGTTTCCTGGGCTGGAGTGCAGTGGCACCATCTCAGCTCACTACGACCCCCGTCTCCCGGGTTCAAGTGATTCTCCTGCCTCAGCCTCCCAAGTAGCTGCGATTACAAGGCACCTGCCACCATGCCTAGCTCATTATTTTGTATTTTTAGTAGAGACGGGGTTTCACTATGTTGACCAGGCTGGTCTTCAACTGCTGACCTTGTGATCTGCCCGCCTCGGCCTCCCAAAGTGCTGGGATTACAGGCATGAGCCACCTGGCCTTTTTTTTGTTTTTGTTTTTTGTTTTAAGACACTGAGTCTTGCTCTGTCACCCAGGCTGGAGTACAGTTGCATGAACCTGGCTTACTGCAGCCTTGACCTCCTAGGTTCAAGTGACCCTCCCACCCACCTACCCAAGCCTCCCACCAAGCCCTGTAGTACCTGGGACTACAGGTGTACATCACAATGCCTGGTTAATTACAAAATTTTTTTTTTTTTTTTTTTTTTTTTTTTTTTTTCTATGTTGCTTAGGCTGGTCTTGAGTTCCTGGCCTGAAGTGATCCTACAACCTCAGCCTCTCAAAGTGTAGGGATCACAGGCAT